AGATGACTCAAAGAAAGGTCACAGGTGGGGTGGTAACGAGCCATGGCGGGATTGGTTGATAATCGGACTCAGTATCTTCATCCAATGACAGACACAATTCAGCCAACTGTGGCTGGATATGAAGAGCAAAAGGAAGAATGACAGATTGTGTATTTCAAAAGAGCACAGCCCACCGAGGAAGGAAGACATAACCCCAGGTGGGATGCTGTGGTAAGGATTGAAGCTTTGTAGCATATTGTAAAGAAACTGCAAAAGGACTGGAGAAGTGTGGAAAGCCCCCGTGCAGAGCCAAAGCCCAGATGGTGTACAGGGACCAACATATTCAAGCCAGAGGGGCTGGTAGAACCATAGACAAGAGACCCATAGTCCAGCTTTGAACATATGAGGACATGATATATCCTCAATATAGAACATCAGTCTCTTCCCTAAGAGGTAGAAGAGAGGACATGAAGGGTGTGTAGTGCACTTGTACACTTGACACGAAGCTGCTTAATGTGAGAAATGAAAGTAAGCTTACGGTCAAAGATCAGCCTCAGGAACCACGGGAAAAACAACCCCACTGAAACAGAACTCGGAATCGTGGTGTAAGCCCCATTGGCGGCAAAAATGAATGCAAACGGGTTTAGAGAAAGAGAAGGTAAAACCGTTTGCGGATGTCCACTTCAACAAGCGAGTGAGGGCTGTCTGAAGCTGCTGCTCAATAAACTTCATGTTTGATGACTGACAAAAAATGTAGAAGTCGTCGATATAGAGGCTGTTTGCAACAGTAGGAAGGAATTGTTTAGTGATAGTATTCATCTTGATAGTGAAAAGAGTGACACTTAAGACACAGCCCTGAGGGACTCCAAATTCCCGTGTGAAAGAATGGGAAAGGGTCGAACCCACACGGACTAGGAATCGCTTATCATGGAAAAAGTTATGAATAAAACTGGGTAAATAGCCACACAACCCGTATCAATGGAAGTCCCACAAAATGTCAAACCTCCATGTAGTGTCATAAGCCTTTTCAAGTTAAAAGAAGACAGAAACAAAATGCTCTCTCTTGATGAAGGCTTACCTGATTGAACTTTCGAGACGAATCAGGAATGCTGTCTATGAAACCACATTGAGTGAGTGAGAGAAGATTGTTTGATTCAAGGAACCAAACAATATGTACATTAACCTCTCCAAAACCTTACAGAGACAATAGTAAGTCAAGGCAATAAGACGATAATTAGAAGGGATCTCGGGATCCTTCTCAGGCTTTGAAAAAGATAGAACAATAGCTCTAGAAAAACATTCTCTTTCCAGATCCAGTTAAAGAGAACCGGAAGAAGAGTAAGAGAGCCAGGAGAGAATTGGCGTAGCATTTTATAGTGAAGGCCAATGAAGAGCTAGCTTATGTTCCACCACTGTAAAAGGGCGATTATAGTCATAGAGACGATCAGCCCGAAAGGAGAGAGGTGATTTTGCCGAAGACTTGATGGCCAAAAAGGCAGGGAAAGAAACAGAAGTGCTGGAGAAATAGGAAAAGCACTCCCTGGGAGTATCAGCGATGCTCTGTACATCAGCAGCTTCCTGACCATTGGAGAGCAAAATGGAAAGGGGATGGGAAGCACACTTCCCATTGACCTTCCGAATCTCGTCCCAAATGACTTTGGAACTGGTGGTAGAAGAGATGCTGATTGTGAACTTAATCCAAGATTCCTTTTGGCTTTGACATCTGACCTGCCGAGCATGGACACGAACCAACTGGAAAGCAATGAGCCATTTCTGAGCATTCTGTGCCTGCTAGCAGACAGGAGATCACTATGAACGAGGATACCATGAGAAATGTGTCGAGGTTTGGGGGATAGAATAAACAGCTGCTTGAATTATACAGTTAGTTACTGCTTCCACACAGTCATTCATAGAGGGAAGACTAATGACAGTAGGATGGAGTTCTGAGAGAGAGGTGAAAGAGACCCAGTCAGCCCTCTCCAACTTCCATAGTGACACTTGGGTTGGGTGGCATCGACCATGGCCAATGTATCTCATAACAACGGGAAAATTGTCACTGCCTCGTGGGTCACTGTCAACTGTCCATGAAAAATTAGAAAAAAGTGAAGGGGAACAGAGAGAAAGATCAATAGCAGAAAAGAACTGACTAGGTGCATGAAAATAGGTAAATGAACCAGTAATGAAGAGAGATGGATTGTGATCTGAGAGCACACACTCCACAGAATGACCCCTCCCATCAATATCTGCACCACCCCAAAGGGAACTGTGTCCATTAAGTTCTTCCAGGATTAAAAATGGAGACAATAACTGTTCTATTAGAGCATCAAGGTCTGATTGATCGTAAGTCTCTCCAGGAGACGGGTAGAGAGAACAAACAGTGATGATATGACCAACGGAAATATGGATGGCTACAGCCTCCAAGGGTGTATCGAGTGGCATAGACATGGTGAGTATGTGCTGGTCAACTAGCAATGCCACCTCTCCGTGAACTCGTCCATCACATAACCTGTCATTCTGGTATAAAGAAAACTGCCGAAAGGTGACAGTATTGGCAGGTTTCAGAAAAGCCTTCTATAAGGAGAGAAGACATATGGGGTGAGAGGAATTGATCAAGGCCTTAATGTCATCCAACTTAGAACGAAAACCTCGACAATTCCATCGTATCAACGTGGCCATTTTCATTTAGGTGGATGAAAACCCTTCTGCTTGTGACCACGCCATTTTTCTTTAGTAGATGGAAGTCCCTCGACCTCCATGGAACCTACCTTGGGTCGATTGGGCAGATCTCTGTCAGAGGATGGAAGACTTCAGAGACTGAGGGCATGACCGAATAATGATCCTGCACCTCGAGGCCGAAGGAGATGGAACCGAGCAGTCACTGGAAGCAATGGTGGGGACAGAGACAGGAATTGACTTTGACTTGTCAACTCGTGCAACCATGGAGGGCAAAAGACACCTTCACATGATGTGAGAAGGACTCTGATGGAGGCACAGAAAGATGTATCTGCACTCCCACTGAAGCAGTGGAACATAGCGCATCAGCATATGTCCAGGATAGAGTAGGGGACAATACCTTCCGAGCCTTGGGGTAAGAAATGTTATTGACAGTATGTAAACATTGTACCTCTTTTTCCTCCACCCACTTAGTGCAACATCGAAAGTATGAGAGGTGGGAACCACCACAATTGATCCAGTGAGGGTCCAGTTGACACCCATAGGTGTAATGGTCTTTGCCACCACAATGAGCACACGTCAAAAACCACGACTAAATGCTTTTGAATGTCCAAACTACTGACACTGGAAACATCTGAGAGTGTTAGGAATATATGGCCATACCTTCCAATTAAGATAACCTGCCTTTGCAGAGGCAGGTAGATGTGGCAATGTAAATATAACAATCAGAAAATTGGTTGGCAGCATAACTGCGTCATCGTGAGTGGAGATATGATGCTCAGCAGAAACTCCTTAGCTGGAGAAGTCAGCGAGGATTTCCGACTTAGGGATGTTCCGTAAATCCCTCTCAACGATTACTCCTCGAAAAGAATTTAAAGAAGCATAGGGAGTAATCTCAATAGGTATATCTCCAATGGTTTTCGAACTCAGGAGGAGTTCACTGTGTTCAGGTGTAGACGTTTCCACCACAATTTTCCCAAGACAGTGCTTCTTCACTGACTTTGTAGAACTAGCAAGTCCCTCTAAACCCTTCTGAATGAAAAAGGGAGATATTGTCCTAATGATTTCTCAGTAAAAGAATGAAGGATGAGAAAACGAGGTACAGGAACAGTAGAAGGTGAGGATTGGAAATCAAAATCTGCCAATCATGGTCACTTTCCTATCAACGAGATTTTTTGTTTCTTTCTATGCGGTTCACTGAGCATAGGATCCATGAAAAAGGAAAATTCGGTGCACACTGACCTTACCCACCATGGAGCCCTACAAGGGAGTGCACTACAATGCTAAAGCAAAGCATTGTAGAGATGATAGGGTTTCGTGGGCCCTATACCCAAACACCAGCATCAGACACAAGGTCCGCAACACCTGTTGAGAACGTCTAACACTGGTACTTAGATGACTTTAGCCCATCTGGACCAGCCGATTGACTCTGGGGGAGCCACCCCAAGGCCACCCATCTACAGGAATTCAAGGCCAAAGGGGTATGTTAAAGTGCCACCAACGTAAAGGACCCATCAATGACACCCCTCAACCACCAGGACGCTCTTCTCCCTTTCACGGGTCGCCACGCACAGCAAACACGTGGGTGGATTTTCAGATCCCAGAGGAGGTAAACTGAAAATACATAACCTTCCCTGGAAGGCTCACTCACCACGTACAGGAATATACCTCGAGGGTATATGCCGACGAAATAAAGCCAATTGCTTAGCTTTAGTGAAGACTTCACCATAAGTTGATACCACTTCCATAGTATCACCAAATATGGAGTCACTAGTGGATTTCCTTGACCAATTACTTTGAGAGAGTAAAGGGATGGTAAAGGACAAGAGATCACCTAATTTTCTTACCATGAGCCACCGAAAAGAATTTTCTAAAGACATGGAGAGAGGAG